CTCACAGGTATACGTGCAGGCCAAACTTTATATCTGTGCAACAATGCATATATACATATATACATACATGCTAAACACTGGACTAAGAAAAGCAGCATTTTGACAACATCAGCTAACGTCCAGAGCTTTCTGTTTGTGTGACTTCAGCAGAGTATAATCAAGGCTTTAAACTTTCTGCAAGGCTCGTCAAGTATGTGAGGTCCTGCATGGCATAAATTTCATCAGGTCCTTAAGTTCATGTGAGTATGCATGGATCCCTCCAGACATGCCTGCGTGCAGCCCAATTTATGTAACTGCACTGCAACCATGCTACAAAGGCAGTAGTGTGTGTGTGCTACTGCGCATGCACGCAACAGAATCATGCAAGGGGACTCCTGCAGACTAGAAAAGTACTGTAATGACAACTACTATGCGTCCATGACTGTCTGTGTCTAATCTAGCATAAACAAGGCTTTAGAATATGTGTAAGACTGATAATCGTTCACAGCATCCAGATGAAGGGTGAGAAGCCAGGTGTATGATCAGATAGTATCTCCAGACAACAGCTCCAAAGATCTCAGGCTTTCGTTCACCATGGCATGTGACTTCTCCTCCCCCAAGGAAGAAAATGGACACGATGGTACGTCTTGTTGGAAGATTCAGACTGACTTGTAAATCACGGCTCAGGTTATCTTCTCCTGCTTTTCAATGAACCAGTCTCGGGGCCGGATGTCCAGCTGGAGCTGATCCATCAACCAGGGGTCCTTCTCAGCTCCTTCAATAAACTCCTCCAGAGAAATCTCGCCTGGACGATTCACACAGAGAACACAGTGATACACAAGGTTACAAAACAGGGTTGAAATGAAATGAAATGAATGAAATTAAATTAAATGAAAAACAGGGTTGGATAGTTACTAAGTGCATTTGCTCAAGCACTGTACTTCAGCATTTCAGTGTTCTGCGATTTTATATATTCCACTCTACTATAATTCAGAGGAAATGTTTTCTCTTCTACTACATTTATCTGGCAGCTTTGAGATGAAGATGTAACACAAGGGAAAACATAATAAGGTTTTATTTGAATACTTTACATTTTGCAGCTATGTTCTTTACTTCAGTAGTGTCCTTCATGCATAAGCTTTCATGAAACTGAGTATTTTTACATCACTGTATTGGTACTTTTATTGAAGTACACAATCTGCAAACTTCATCATTGCTACTAACAATGCTTTGTTGTGACATCAGGATTTTATTGTTGTAGTTAATCAAGGTGGAATTAGTTTTTAGCTACTTAGAGAAAGGCAACTAAGGAGTATTTTTATAGTTCCTGATTATTTTTGTATTATTGATTAAATATGGGCTAAAAGCTCATAAGAATTTTCAAAAATAATGTCCTAAACAATTGTCCTGAGCCTGCAGTGCCATCTAGATCATGTTTATTTTGTCCAAGCAACCATCCAGACATACAGCCACCCAGCAGCCTGAGTGGTTATTCAGGGAAATGTCCCAGTTACTTGGTTTATTTTTGTTCCCCTCTCTTAAAAATGCCAGAAACCCCCAAATATAATCCTGTTTTCCCCAAGATTTTGACAAATACCAAGAAATTATTCAGATAATTAAAAAGAAAAACCTACAGATCATTACATTTGACAAGCTGGAACCAGGAGCTGTTTGTCACCTTTGCATTGAAAACTAGTTAAATAATTACATTATTATACATTCATTCAACTGAACAAGTAGTTTAACTTAACATGAGAACTTAGCACAGCATCTTAATTTTCAGCCTGCAGCTGTGTAATAATTGTAGAGAAGAAGAAGTTAAACGGCTCCATGAAAGGAACATACTTCAATTCTGTTGAGTGCTGCTTAAATTCCACCTCTCACATAACAGCAGATCAACAGCATGACCTCTGTTAGAGCTTTTATTTTGTATTACAGGAAACTCACTGTCGTCGTTCTTGTCCAGCAGTTTAAATATTCTGTCACAGATGTCGTCAACAGTGTCAGTGCCGTTGTCATCATTGTGGCTCTTTATTGTGTAGATGATCTGAACAGATGGGAGAAACGACAACAACAAAACAAACCACATTAATGTTAATGATAACGAAATGTTATCTGAGACAACATATAGCGTATTATAATGATATTTCTGACTTCTTAGCATATTATGTACAATTTAACCCTCTTGTGTGTCTTTGTAAGACTCATTCTTGTTTTTACCCAATTGAAATTCTCAAGTGTTCTAACTTTATTTTTCTATTTTGTATTTGTTGGTAGGTGCTCTTTTCTGTTTATCTGTGAGGCTCAAGTATTTTAAGGGCTCAGCAACCTAAAAATAAATTGGAGCTTTGAGTGTAGCGGGTGCATGTTAGCCAACCAACATCTAATCAAGTAGTTTTGGTGTTTAAACTAAACCGCATGGATACGATGAAGTTTCATAAATCAATTTCTGTTTTCTCTGCACGGATGCATTGTTACATCTACAAGTAAATATATAGTGTCTTTTCAAAATAAATAAGAAAAGTCCTCTGTGTTTTTCTTAGTTTTTTTGAGACATCAAATGCATGTATTCTAAATATTAAGTGGAACGTATTGCTTCCGACGGAAATCTATGCCTGTCGTGCAACCAAATAGTTTTGCAGTGTAAACAAAAGAAGTCACTAAAAATGACTGAAAACAGCAATTGTAAATGACTGAAAGTAGAGATTGACAATGAGTGAAAACAGCCAATGAAAATACTCAAAACAGCTACTCAAAGCATCACCAGCAAATAACTAGAAACAAAAAGCGGACAATGAAAGTGAACAGTGAAACAACCCAAACCACCCATCCATCCATCCATTATCTATACACCTCTTAATCCTCACTAGGGTCATGGGGGAGCTGGAGCCTATCCCAGCTGACTTAGGGTGAAGACAGGGGACACCCTGGACAGGTCACCAGTCTATCACAGGGCTACACTTAGAGACAGACAACCAAGCACACTCACATTCAAACCTACAGACAATTTAGAATCAACAATTAACCTCAACATGTTTTTGGACCTTGTGGGAGGAAGTCGGAGAACCCGAAGAGAACCCACTCTGCACGTGGAGAACATGCAAACTCCACAGAGAAACATCCCGGGTTCCCTCCCACCATTGCCAACCACTTGCTCAAAGGCAGTCCAAAGACTACTTTGGATTGTTGGGTTATCTGTTCAAATGTGTAGGGTCTATACCTTACTATGTTAAGCGCTGAGTGATGACATATGTTGTAAACTGCGCTATTCAAGTAAAATTGAATCAAATTGAATTGAACTGAATTGAAAACACTGGTGATGAAAGTAAACACTGACTGGGAATGATTTCTGATTAAACAAATATTAATATTAACACCACATTAGGAGCACCTAACTTTAAAGATCTTTTAAGGTCCAACTTTCCCACAAAACAATGGAAAGTGTCGAGCTCGTCCCAAATCTCCACCCACAGAATTACAGCAACTAATCACAGCATCTCTTCCCAGAAAGAGATTAAAATAGCTGCAGCTGAATTAAGGAAAACGAATGTAGTTTAGACGGTATAATTCCAGAAAACTTTAAAATAAATCATTTTATCAGCAGAAAAGTGTTGTAATGTGTGAAAACGAGATTCTGACGACAGTGAATACCTACATGGAGAATGTTTTTTACTTCTTCCCGTTCCAGACAGCCGTTTCCGTCGCCGTCATAAATTTTAAAAGACCATCTCAGTTTGTCCTCGAGTTTTCCACGAAGAATCATATGAACGCCTGCAACGTACTCCATGAAGTCTATTTTACCGTCCTGAGAGAGAAACAGGAGGATGGATGGGTTAGTCACGTCTCCTGCTTTCCACAAGAGTCTGTTATGAAGCAAGATTAAGACTGAGACAAATACTGACCATTCGATGACTGATTGATCAAATAATACAGAAAAATAAATAAGTGTACCACTTGAATTCCATCTTCCGTCTGCTGTTTCCACTTTGATCTCCATATTTAAATGTCACAGGTGTAGATTTTGGGGGGAAAACAGGTGTTACATCCAACTCAGTATTTGCATTAACTACATTTGTCCTCTTGAAATTAAAATGTCAAAGAAGCAGACTTTAAACTCGAAAAAACTGCGAGAATATCACTAAATTACACAGTGATTCAGAAAAAAGCATAAATTGGTGCATGAGAATTAACCAGAATTCGGGAAATGTAGTGTTTCATACTGAAAAACACAGTGATAGAGAAAAAAAGCACAGATTGTTGCAGGAAATGAAGGACCTGACAGCCAAAATTCCCTGGAGAAGGAACCCCAGACCCCATTCAATGTGTTTCCAAACCATACCTGCTGCCATTCAAAGACACATTACCTTGTTTGTGTCAAAGGATCGAAACAAATTGTCCATATATGCAGATTCTTCCTCTGATGAGCTGCTGTTGACTCCAAAGATCCTCTTGAACTCGTGCAGGTGCAGATTTCCACTCGGACACTCGTAGGTAAACTTGCGGTAGAGCTTCTGGATGTTTTTAAGAGTCACCTCCCTGTCTGCGGTGCCATGCGTTTGACCCATAATCACCAGAAGAAGCTGACAAGATTTGCTCAAATATTGACAAATCCGAATGGAAGTTGTCATGCAGGTTCATCACTGCGCACTAACCGTGAACTCATGACTCGTGCCACCAGCCGGGACAACCTGCCGGATAAATCCGATTGACTTTTCTGCGAATTGCTCCAAATCCATCCCTACTATGTCTGAAATATTTGTCTCCACAACTCTGACAAATCAACTCCACATTGTGCTGAAGAAAAAAGCTATTTGACTCATTAATGAGTGTGAGTAAGTGAGAAATCTGCTGAAGAAGAGCAGCAAAAGGCCACCGACGAGAGTAAAAGACGAGTGATGTCTGGGTGTTGGTGTGGTCTTGGTGACAGTGTTTATCCTCTGATGCTGTCTGGGAACTCTGCCAATCTGACCTGCTGAGGAAATTAGACTTTAATCTAATTAATGCCTCTATTAGCAAACACACACACAGTCCCCATCTGTGACTACACCACATCTAAATGTGACGATCACTGGAGCAAAACATTTAATTTAAGGTCATTTAGTGGAAAACAGATGAGAGACGTAAACCCAACATTACTACCACTGGACACTGATTCCATTGGAAAATCTAAATTTATCCTTGAATTTTAAGGCAAATTTAGTCTATAAAATTATCTTATTTCATTTATTCACAATATTGCATTTTAGTTAAATGAACATTTTATATTTCCATCATCATAACATAACTAGTCTTTGATGGTAATTATGTAGCTGATAGCTTTAAAATGACAGTTTAATAATGGATTTTTTAGTGCTTACTCTAGATTGATAAAATAATATTCACTACTTTTCTTTTAAACGATGACAAATGTCTGATAAAGATGTTTCTGGCTCATTCAAATACAGCAACAAGTACAAACATTGTAAAACAACTGATCTGTAAAAATACAGATTTTAAATGTGGATATTACCTACAATTACGCCTATTTTTATCATTAAGGTGTGAATTAAGACTTTTTTCTGCCGTGAAAATGTAGAGTAAAAATCTGCAAAACAACAGTAATTTTTTTTTCAAATCTTCTAAAAATGTTTAAAAACATTCACTTTTACAGTGTTAAAGTTATGTATGCTTGTTGCCTTCAGTGATTCTCTTGTGATTGCATCAGAAAATACACATCTGAACATAAAAAGTTATTTACTGCCACCTTCATCTTAAAATTGGTCAAAATCTAGAATATTTGTCTTTTAATGTAGTTTAGTTTCACAAATCAACATCTTCAAAGACGTGAAAACCTTGAACTAAGGATAAAAATTCTTAAAATACTAAATTTCACACAAGCTGCCACTTGTTAAAATACAAACACCTGAAGCAACAAAAAATATTCTGTCAACCAGTTCAGTCTCACAAAAACGTGTATAAGAGCAAAATTAATGTCACAAGATAGAACACATGTCTGGATGCATGACTGAGCTGGGACAAAAATGTGTGCACTTCACTAAGACGAGTCATTTTGTGTCTCATTTTGATGGCTTTGCATCTCTTCTTAACTACTCTATGTGACTCTGTTGTAATTTTACATCTCTTTGGGGACGTTTTGATTTTTATGGCCATTTCATGTCTTTCTCTCCTACTTTTTCTCATTTTTATCTCAATTTTGGGTCTCATTGTGCTTGTTTTATTGGCTTCTGCTGCAAATATAGAAGCGCCATTAACAGCATCCAGTAACCCCGTTTAGCAGTTCAGTCCCTTCTGTGATGTGAATGAAGTTGTCTTCTCTACTCTTTGCACCATCCCCTGAAATCCTGCACACAAACTCACTAGCAGCCAAAGATTTAACTCAGATTTGATCCGTCAGATGTTCAAATTCCTGACTGTGGTGCCTCCTGGTGGCAGAATCAAACAAACACACTGGACCTGACAACAACAACAACAGAGGAAAACACAACATGAAGTATAGAAAAATATTATTTATTAACAAATAAATGCATATATGAGACAAAAACATTTTCCCTTTGGACCTGAAATCTTTTTTTTTTTTTAACACTTGTACAAAAATACACAAATAAAAAACATTCTGTTTATTATATATATGTTCAGGATTATTGTAACTAAATGGAAAGTGGAACATTGTAACTCGCTGCTAAACTTAGTGAAACATTTAGCTGGTGGGGACCAAAGCGGAGCCAAAAGAAGAACTGGTGTTGAGCTTTTTTTTACTTTTACTATGAATTAGGAGGTCAGATTGACAACTTTAATTCAATACTGATGCTTATTCTTATGCTTATTGTCTGCTTTATATATGGGGATTACAAATTAGTTTCAGCTAGATGCAAATTCTTGTCAGTGTCTTGTCTCAGTCCAACATAAGTTATGTTTCAGTTCACTTCCTGTTTTGCACATCTTTGAGGTCTAACATGTTATAAATGCTTTTCCTTCCTCGTGAATCTCTTTCAAAGCTGATACTGTTATTTACATCCAGTCTCGGTCTTTCCCGCCTTTATTGGCACACTGCTGCATAATGTATTATAATATTTACTCCAGTACTCTTGCACTGTATTTGAGTAAAACTACTCAATGCAGAAAAAAAGCGAGCTTTATACTATTATACATTATATCATGACATATATTCATACTTAGGCATTCATGTAAAAGCAGGATTTTACTGTTGCACTCATTTTGAATTATTAACTACAACTAAAGATCATTTTTTCTCCAATAATTTACTGTTTGGTTTCTAAATATGTTTGAAAATAGTGACAAACACTTTTACAATTATTCAACATAACTATCAAAACAATTGCCAATTCTTTCTCAGTTAGCTAGCCGATTAGTTTCTGGTGTCCTTGTACAAGCTGTTGGGTATATTCATTTACAACAATATGTCATAAAAGTTCATCATATGTTTTATGTACAAAAATTTAAATTTGTGAATTAACTAAAGCTGCTAGATAATTTTCATGAAGTAAAGTAGAAAGTGGCATGAAAAGAAAATACTAACGAAAGTGATTTCAAATTTGTACTTAAGTACAGTATCAGAGTAAATGTACTTAGTTCCCTGATAATAATTTAAGTGTTATGTGCATACAGACATGGTATATTACATGTGGTTGTCCTTTTTTTGTTGTTGTTGTTGTTTTGGGGGTTTTTTTGCTTCTTTTTGCTTGCATAAACATCACACTTGCATGATTGTTCTTAGTGAATATTAAACAAGTACACAGAGATCTAACAGAAACCTAAAAACTCCATATGATGGCTGGAGGTCAAAAATTACACAGGGAACCTTTAGATAAACGAATAGGTAAAGAATATGCCATTTTGAGTTTTTGCCACAGACTGTATAGAAAAGATGGACGTAGCCTTTGGATCTGTTGCCATGGTGATAACGGCACGCATAGACGCAGCGGCCACTTCAGGAGACAACGAAAGTGAACATTTTAAATGTCTTGTCGATCCCAGACATTCATCCTGCAAAACTTGTGGCCGGGAGACTTTGCTGGGTGTCAGGACAGTGAACGGTGCTGGAATTGCGGCAATCGGTTGTGAAGTGGACATACTACACCAACACAGAGTCCGATCAGAAACTACGCCGGCAGTTACCCAAGAGAGAAGGAAGCGCAAATGGTGCGAATGTAAACAAAGGAGGAGGAAGAGAGCCGGGATCCATGCTAGACTAAAGGCTAACCCCTCCAGACCAGCAGGACTGTCCTCCTACTCTCCAATGTCCGCTCCATCCACAACAAACTGGACGAGCTACGTTTGCTGAGAGAAACCCGCGGAGAGTGGAAAGACTGCTGTGTGTTTGCTTTAACAGCAACATGGCTCCATGACAACATCCCAGACGGACATACAGCTGGAGGGGACGACATTATTCCAGGTGGACAGACAGACAGACAGCTCTGGGCAGCATCTGCAGCTTCACCATCTTCACACCATCATGTGTGTCTTTGTGTCCCTGAAGACCTACCAGGACCTGAAGAGGTTCACCATGTTCAACGTGATGGCGGCGTGCATGGACGCAGCGCCCCCTTCAGGAGACAGCGAGAGTGAACGCTTAGTGTCTTATCGCAGACGTGCATTCTGCAAAACGTACAGGCTGAATAATCTTGAAGAAACGCTCTCTCATCTTGCCTGTAATACTGTGTATGTACAGCAAGATGACAATAAACCTGATTTGATTTGATTTAAAAAGTGAAGCCAGTGCAAATAAACCTGCATTCTTTCAAATAGCCAGCAGGGGGCGACTCTTCTGGCTGTAAAAAGAAGTCAGATTGTATAGAAATCAATGAGAAAATCATCTTCCTTCTCACTTGATTTGTTAACTCAGTAAACATTTCCCTAATGAATTTGTGGTTTCAATTGCTAGTTTCAAGTCGTCTTCAATACAGAATGATGTTTGATTTAATAAACTATGGCCCCAATCTGAGGAAAAATAGATGATAAAAGTTGGCAAGTCAGTGGTATGTGTAGAATCCTCTTGTCCTCTGTCAGATCCACCACTCGCTTGGCACGTCTGGTTAGAAAAAACCCAAGATTCACGGCTTAAAAATGGCAGTCCACAAACAAACGGGTGACGTCACGGTGGCTACGTCAATCTGTTATATACAGTTTGTGGTTTTAAGCTTGATTTGCAGCCCCCAAGTGACCCAGACATACTCGTTTAGTTATTTAAAGTCTGATGTTTTAAACCACATAACAGTGTAAAAAGAAAAATTAAATGGGCTGATTCATGAGCACGTTAGCACAGTAGCAATAGTGTCATAACTTATTGTACGAAGACAAAACATTTAAACATTTAAATTAGAAATAAATAGCCTAATTGAAATAACCAATTACATCTAATAAATATGGAATGATTTGATTTTTGTCTGTTTTGGGGGCATTTTTTTTTAAACAACATTTAACATGGCCATCATTATTAATCTAAAAACACAAGAACGCAAATAAACAACAAGTCACTGTACTGCATATACAATCCTCCGTAAATATGGGGTTTCCACAGACCACGGGGCTTCCAGCACAGCGAGGACTCAGACCAGCCGTCTAAAATCCAGGCAGCAACTGCAGCCGTGAAAGAGTTCACAGCGTCCGCCGGCCCAAAGCCACAGGAGGCTCAACACGGAGACGCAGGTGAACCTTTGAAAGTCAAGGTACCTCTGTCAGCCCGGAAACAAAACAATGTGGGCGGTGAACCCACTCGGCAATAGATCACGGCAGTTTTCCGCAGTTCTGGATGACCCAGCTGGTGGCGTTGACATCCAGCTTCAGCATGTTCATGACCCACTCGTCCTTCTGAGCTCCCTCCATGAACTCAGACAACGTGATCTGACCTGCGGGCAAGAAAAACCTACACTGAGAACTTGTTGGGAAAAAAAGAGCAACAGCAGAATAAAATCCATCTGCACATCTCCATCCGTATATATTCCTGTGGTTAAAATAAAACTGTTTTACCTGAAGCAACAACATAACATGCAAGAAGCTAAAAGTGCAAAGAAAGCACGAGCAGCATTTAAAAAGCTGAAAATATATATGCAGGATCGCAGATGCCAGCTCCTCGTGACTTTTAAACAGATGAGTATAAATAACTTAAGACTGCATTTCTGATCATAATTTGGATTTTTCTGCAGTTAAGTAAAGTAACTTTGGTGAAGCAGCTGAAAAAGTTGCTCTGAGTTCAGTCTCTTTTGTCCTTGAATAAACGTTACTGTAGAAATTTGAAATGTTGTCACAGTGGGGGGAAAAAAAAAATCAAGACAAAAAGATGAAGAAAGCTAAGCCAAAAGAGCCAACAGTGATTGGAAAAACACTGTTTCACTGTTAGGCTATATGATATTTAGCTTCAGTATAAACTGGACATACTTTTCTCCAGGTTGATAGAAAATGAATCCATTCCCCCCTCATCTTAATGTATTTATATACACATTAAGACAGCTGTAATCATTCCTCCTCTACAAATTATCCATGGAGTCATCGCTTCTTTCAACACCATACAATATGATATTGATTCTTCTTTTTTATCCACTAGTAAGTGTTGACTTACTAACAAGTTTTAAAAGCATGCTATCTTTAACGAATCTACAACTTCACAGCATTTATCAGCAAGAAACTGTTATTTCTGACAGTCCTTGAACGTATCATATTGTATCTCATTTGTGATATTTCATCAAAATCACTCCAATCTGCTTGTCTAAATCAAGAAGTTGTCAAAAACGAGCCCCTTACACCAGATCCTGTAATAAACTAAAACTTCTGCACACGTCAGTACAACTAAGAAGCCACGACTGACTCAGCTGTGACCAACAGTCACTTGACAAAACTTCATAGAACTCTCAGGTGAACTGCAGGCAGTGTTCACACAGAGCAGGGAGGAGACGACTGAAAGGGATTTAAAACAGAGTGGATCAGTAAAATAAATGCAGCATGGCTCAAAAACAGCATACAGAGTAGAAAGGTGTCAGCTAGTTTTTGGAAGATACATTCAGCAGGGTTAAGAAATAAAGAGTTCTGACAAACACCAAGAAGAGAGACCAGATTAATTTTTAGATCCTAGCATTGGTTTCTAGTTAAGCAGAGAACTAAATTTAAAGTTACATATACATTGTTTGTAAGTCTCTCAGTGGTCAGAGCCCAAAACATCCAATATATATATTTACCAAGTTCAGGCCTGGTTGGCTGTTGTAGCCATTTTAGCCGTCACACTGCCCCCTGCTGGACTCAGCTCCGATTGGATCTTCGATTTTATGCTTTAACAGTGTGCTTTATTTTAATTAATGCGCCATTTTTAAGGTTCTATAAATTGTGGTTTAAACTTGTCTGGACTTTTACTAAAGATGTCTGGACTTTAAATTTTTTTTTTTTACTTCATCTTTAAATCTTTCTTTCATTCTTTAAACTTGAATTTAATCAATTTTACCCTGTTTGTCTTTCTTTTCAGGCATCATAAGGCACCACCTTATTATTATTATGCTGTTTACACAGTCCTGTAGCAAAATAAAGAACTATTTCTTCTGCGGTGTTGGTGTCTTAAAATGGCTCACACTCTAAATAGTGAGACTTTGTGCTTTCAAAACATCATTTAAAATCCTGCAGTAAATTTTTCACATTGTGCTGGTTAAGGGGTTAACATATAGTTGTGACCGCAAACATGTACTTTGACATAATATTAAATATTAACTCAGTTTAGACAAAATAAGCACAGTTATTCTCTGTAAAGCCCTTATGCTCTGACTGTTTTGTAAAAATGTCCCCAGATTCAGCTGCAAAATGGTAAAACCAAACTAATTAACCTTTGGCTCCATGGATCGGAGACACTTAGATGATTTAGAAATACAATAAGTCTCTGTGTGAAAAACTCTTCATTGCTGTCTTAACAAGACTGTAAATTACAGTAAATAACAGCCCTAAAACAAAGTCAGTGATAATGATATTTAGCCTGTTCTAAAGTTCTCAAGTGCAACTTTGATGGAACACAAAATGAAACAACCAACCAAGGAAAAGGGCACAGTTGTGTTTTTAGAACTGATCCTGGTAAAAACAAATACGAACACAATTGTACTGATGTCAGATTTTTTTCAAACACTTACCATCATTATTCTGGTCGACCAGTTCGAAGATTCGGTCACAGATTTGAGTCGGAGTCATGCTGATGTCACTCTTCTGAAGCTTGATTTTGTAAATAATCTGCATAAGATACATGAAATTGTCTGTCATCAAACACAGCAACTATCATTTCAAGCATTATTTACTAAAACAATTAGTTGTGCACGACAGACAGTGTCTCAGACATGATCGCCTTTACATTCGGACAACATCTGAACTTGACGGCTTTATGTCTAAA